GGGGGGGGGGGGCTCAGGCACTTGCTCAAGTGTGAGAAGGACCTCTGCTTTCTGTCATCCCTTCTGTGTTTGACAGCTTTCAGAATAAATAGCAAACGTTTTAAAGGAAGGAAGAAAGGGGGGAGGCAGGCAGAGGGAGAGAGGAAGGAAGGTAATGAAGGAGCCCCCAAACCCAAACCCTGCTCACTGCTGCTGGAAGGTGGCCCTGGTTCTGTTGCTGGAAACCCCTGTCGCTCCCCCAGCCAGGCTCCCCCTCTGCTCCCGAGGCCCCTGCAGGGTCGGGGGCAGGGCAGGGGAGAGCTGATCCAGCCAGGCACGGGATGAGATCTAAGCTCCTGGCCGGAATGCAAGTGCCCTCGCCCCCAGGGGCCCCCTGCCCTGGCTGGGAACCCCACAGAGGGAGCTTTACTGACCCTGTTTCGTTTGTCTAAAGATTCTATTTGTTTAGTAATCTCTACAACCAGCATGGGGCTCTAACTCAACCCCGAGATGAAGGGTCGCACGCTCCACTGAGCCCCCCAGGCCCCCTGAGATGCTAGGTTTTAAAGTGAGGCGCCCTCCGATGACGGAGACGGTCAGAAGCCTCCACTCATCGCCACAGTGGCCTTAGAATAATTCTAAAAGGCTGAACCCTTCGAAGTTCCGCATTCACGGTTTATTTTACCGCAGACACGACGGCCCTCCGTTGCCACGATGTCGCGTACAGCGGGGGAGATGCTGTGCACACAGAGCGGCACGGGCCAGACCCCAGGCCTCCTAACAAACGGCCCGCACGCCCTGGGTCTCCCGGTGGGGTCCCCGCAGCCACAGAGGCCCCCAGCCCGGGGCTGGCCGCAGGGGCGCCCGGGTGGCAGGGGGGATGCTTCTCCCCCGCTAGCCCTGTCCCCGCAGCATGGGCCTGGCCGGGCTGGGGAGCAGGTGAAGTCCGGGGGGAAAGCAGGATCCTGTAGGGCGGGGTCACTACGCCATGGCGACAGCCCCAACGGGCTCCGGTCCCACACCGGGCCACAGAGCAGAAGCCGAGTCCACTGAGCAGGACACAGAGGGCGGCGGGGGAAGAGCCAGACGCACCCGTTCTGCGCTGACACCGCGACAGGCCTCCTGCTCGGGGCATCAGACGGTCCAGGCCGTGACGGATGCGTCATCCCAAGGTGCGGCGGGAGCTCAGGGACAGCCCCGCTCAGCTGCGGTCTGAGGCTGAGGACAACTGTAAAGAGAAGTCCTGCGCGGGGACGTGAGGAGGACGAGGAGGGAGGAGGCAGGCCTCGGCAGAGAGGCTCCCAAATGCCCTGCGCCCCGGCCGACCTCACCTTCCTGCAGCCGGGCTGGGGGTGGGGGCAGAGATGCTGCCACACCCCGTCCCCAACACCTTGCACCCCAATTCCAGTGGCATCTGGGGGCTCTAAGGCCCTCGTGGCTCCTCCCCATTTAACCACCCGGAGGACCCCGCGTGATGACCCTCGAGGTACGGGGACCTGAGGAGTACCCGCCAGAACAGAAGGGCTGAGAGCAGGAGCTGGCAGGAGGAGGGAGACTGCGTCCCTTGCAGAGCCTTGAGCTGCTACAGGGAAGCCCGGCTCTGTGCGTACGTGTCCCGAGCTTCCAGGCTTTCCTGGGATTCGAGCACAGTGTGGAATTCGGTCTCCCAAGCCGTCTCATCCTGCAGTCACGGGAAGTGTTCTTATTCCGCTCTTGGACTCTGCGGGCCCTCCCAGGGCTTCTAGAACCCTACGTGGGAGCGGGAAGGGGTTCATGAGCCACAACTCTGGGGCCAGCTTGAGAAAGGGGACCGAGACACGCTTCCTTCACTTCCTCCAGCTACGCGAGGAAAGACCTGGGGCCTGGACAGGCACCAGGGTGAAGGTGCCGGAAGCCGGCCGCCACGGCCTCAGTGCAGAGCCCAGGACACCCTCGTGCACGCTGCTGACGTGCGAGGTGACTGTGTGCTCTGTGACGCTGGGTGCAGCCATCCGAGAATAGGTGTGTGGGAGGGGACTCGCCACACAGCTAGAACACTGCCGGGGTCAACGGAGAGGGCCCAGGCCTTGGGGACCCCAGCAACTGCCGCCTCCTTAGTCTCCTCAGACGTAAAGTGGAAATGAGCCGCACGGGCTGTGCAGAAACACAAGCGATCGGTCTGTCGGCTGAACAGCGTCCCAAAGTTAGGAGGAAGCTTTAGCATTGATTATACACATTCGCTTTGGCCGTCAGGCTTTAGACTCCAGCACAACTGAAAACCAGACTTTTGTCCTCCAGGCCACATAATGTAACTATAGCTCATAAGCTCTCGGGGAAAGTTTAAGGATGTATTTAAAGTTCACTAGGGGCGCCTGGGTGGCTCAGTCGGTTGAGCGTCCGGCTTTGGCTCAGGTCATGATCTCGCGGTCTGTGAGTTCGAGCCCCGCGTCGGGCTCTGTGCTGACAGCTCAGAGCCTGGAGCCTGCTTCCGATTCTGTGTCTCCCTCTCTCTCTGTCCCTCCAACCCCCCACCCCCCAAAATAAAAACATTTTAAAAAATTTAAAAAAAAGAAAGAAAGAAAGAAAGCAGCAGAGCACTTCTGTCCATGTGATTCTTCCCCAGGACAGAGGAACGCAGCTCCTGATGGGCAGGCCTGAAACCCCCGAGTCCACACAGGCCCGCGTGGAAGCGCCTTCTAACGTCGCGCACATTTCCCGTTGAGAGTGGACAGCTGTGCAGAATCCCTCTCCAGAGCGGCCTTTGTTCCAGGAAGTGGCAACAGCCAGAAACTTCTGTTTTCCCAACCCCTCACGTGCAGTAGGTTCTAAAGGTGGGTCGCTATTCAAAGCAAGCAGGTGGGATTGGGGACACGCTCTCCCGCAGGGGTGCCAACAGGGAGGGGATCGTGCTCAGCCAGCAGCTCACAACTGAGGCTCAGGTCGCCTCTGTGCCAGGCACCCACCGCCCCGGGTCCCTCAGCCGTCACGTGCATGTCAAAAAAAAAAAAAAAAATGCTCATCTTCCCCAAACCCTTGCTTACACAATTACTGTATGTTTTTCCCCAAAGAGGGGGCCTACGTTTAGGGACATGTCTGTAACTACAATCACCATGGAGGGGAAGATGCTTTGGCATGGCAGTTATCAGTGGGGGCGGTGCCAACCCTGCAGAGGGCATTTTGGGAACTTGG